AGAAGAAGAAGAAGAAGAAGAAGAAGAAGAAGAAGAAGAAGAAGAAGAAGAAGAAGAAGAAGAAGAAGAAGAAGAAGAAGAAGAAGAAGAGAAATCCAGGTTCTGGGAATGTGGCTTAGTGATAGAGTGCTTGACTAGCACGCATGAAGCTCTGGGTTTGATTCCTCAGTACCACATAAACAGAACAATCCACAAGTGGCACTGTGGCTCAAGTGGTAGAGTGCTAGCCTTGAGCAAAAGAAGATCAGGGACAGTGCCCAGGCCCTGAGTTCAAGCCCAGGACTGGCAAAAGAAAAGATCCTATTCAAATCCTATAGCAGGAAACTTTTCATAAAGAAAAATAAATTATTCTGCCATTCTAACTTTTATACTTAAGCTATATATATATACATATATGCTTTCATATATATGTATATTGAAATTTCATAATTGGTCACCACTTTGAAGGATTTTCCCCCAAATAAACATCATTCTAGGATGAGTTGGTGAGGTCTCCCTCCCATCTTAATCTGCTAAAAGTTATGATGGATGTCATCAGCTGTTGCTTTCCCTGAGGAATAGAAGCTCAGGAGAAAAAAATGCATTCTGAGTACAGAATGTCAATAGGAAGGTGTTTTTAAAAATAATCTCTAATGAGGATGGGTTACATGGGGTCTGGTGCTCTAGAGCACTCTCATTAGCTACACTTACTCTGCCTGCCACAAATGTTTAAATAATTGTTCCAAAAAGAAAGCAAAGGAAGGAATAAGCCACAGGTGTGGCCATGGGGAGATTGTTTTTTTCCCACAAACTTGTCAGAGACCGGGAGAAACTTGGGAACAGTAACTGATCCTGTCAATTCTTCACTCTCACCTTGAATAGGTTTACATTGGCCCACAAAACTAGATTTTTGTTTTTGATATTCATCTTATTTTCAATGCTTTAAGTAAAAATGCATTGTTTATCTATGCAAAGTGTAATTAATGGTAACTATATTGAACATATTTATGCATATAATAAATAATTTTCAATAAGTTTCTCCCATGTGAAACTGTTTCCCAGTATATAATGATAATACGACCCTATTGGTTTCAAGGGAACTAGTTTTAAATATGCATGAAAGTGATAAGCTAAATTATGGATATTTTATTATATTTGAACCACTGAAAATTGTTAAAAAGTTAATTTTTAGCTCTTCTTTCTATATATTTATATTATATATAAATAAATAAAATTTTATAATGTTATTCATGTATTATAGTTTATATATATTATGAATTTGTGGGAAATACAAAAATCAAAGTTAAAGAATAGATTGGAAATTTCGTATGTGTGTACCTTATAATGAAAGTTATTTTCTGTTTCTCTGTGCAAACAGCTCATACAATAAAAAACATGAAGAGTTATTTTTAAAATAAAATCTTATCATGGATCCTAAATTCTGTGATTTTCATCATCAAATAAAGTTATTCCATTTTTACCAAAGTAAAATAAACTCTTACTTTTCAGCACTTACAAGGCAAATAATACTCTTAAAAATCTTGAACATAGTCCCTACAGACTAAACCTCACACTCTTAAGTCAGGAGGACAGGATCAATAGTAGCCTTGTGTTAGGAGTGACTGTAGGAGAAGAAAGATTCAACAAGGGATTGTGAAGTGGAAGAAAAATCCCTTAGGAACCATTTTCAAACTCTCCTATTTTAAATTGATACAGCAACCTTCAAAAAGAATGTCAAAATTCTATCACACCTCCATTGCATGCTACATTCCTGCGAGTGGAGATGTAGGTTTGACATCAAACTTGTTGAAGAGAGGTACCTGTCAGATGCAGAACTTTCTGAAGTCATACATGTAATAAAGGGAAATGAAAAAGAACTGTAAGAGTTCCTTTTCTTTTTTTAAATAACTTTTTGCCTATTAAATTGATCCAGTAAATTGGTTCTGAATATACACAGAGTTGTATGTTATTGCAGAGATACAAAGGGTGAATCGTTTTATTATTTATTCTACATGATTTGAATGTAGACATCTCAACTAGGTCTGAGAATTACTGTCACTCCTTCCTCCCCCCTCCCTCTGCTTCTTCCAGAGGCTTGTGATGATTCCATTGTTATCCTATATCTTAATAGAGATCCTTTGTCTCAGTAAGTCAACTTTTATCCACAAGATTTAAGTAATTCCAAATGTTAACTCAAAATCTCTTTTAAAATACTTGAAAATCCATCTTTAGATAAGTAATCATTCTGTATATCTACAAATGCATGCTATTTGTCAATTTATTTGACTTCCTTTCAGGTGTGTTTACTTGTGAAAGTCTTTTACCATCACTTGTAGTCTGATTTCAGCCTTGTCCAGCTTTTTACTTTGAGTGCATCTGTGTCTTGCCCAACATACTCTTAGATCATCTGGATGCCTCTGCTGTGTTTACCTTTCTGATCATGCTTTGACACAGCTGCAGCCTCTTTATCTTCTTTCTCTTTAGCTTTTGGTGGAGTTTTTGGTACTTCTTTGACTTTTGCAGCTGCTTGCTTCCCTTTCTCCTGTTTGCCACCTTTCACTTCTTTCTTAGTCTTTTCTTCAGTCTTTTCTTTAGCCTTAGCTTTCTTCTCTTCTATATAGGATTTAAAAAAATGGTAGATAATTTTCTTTATGTCCCAACATCATACTATTATTTTGTCTGAAATTTGTCTTGAACCACAATTTGAAAAGGAAAAGAAAATCAGTAGAAAAATAGTGCCATTAACATAAATATTTCTGATTGGTGTCATAGTTTTATGCAATATATTAAATGCTATTTAGACTTACAGCTCACATACAAAATGATGATCTTTTAAAAAAAATACTGTTGGGATTTTTTTTAAATGAGTCTAAACTTAGCCTGCCAAAAGAATTTGTCCTAGGCAGAGATTGTACATATAGGCACCTTCAATCAAAGTCAATGCTCATACCAATAAACTGGAACTCAAACACAGTATTTTAAAAAGATAATTATTCAGCATTCAAAAAGAAAATGACAAGTACTGGTATTGACTAACAATTATAAAACAATAAAGTATATTAGTGAACAACCAAAAGTCACATCATCTTTAATTATTTAGGTTTTCTTTTCTTTAATTTTTTTATTTTATTGTAAAGATGATATACAGAGGGGTTACAGTTACATAAGTAAGATAATGCATACATTTCTTTCGAGCAGTGTTACCCACTTTGTTTTTCTCCTGCTTTCCTTCCTCCATCACACACCCACCCAAGCTGTAAAGTTCATTTCCAACATAGTATTTAGTGAGTATCGCTGATGCATTGGCTTCTCCATTTTCCCACTGTTTCTGTGATTTCCCTTCCCCTTCCCCAATAATTTGGGTTTTAATAAGCTAAAGAGTACAGAACTTTTTTTTGTTTATTGAAAGTCAGAAATAATGTTTTTGCTGGCGCAATTTTATTCAGTATATATTAATTATATAAAATAAGGAGTTTTATTTTGACATTTCCATGCATTCATATAATATACTTAATTCAGATATGTTAAAAAAAGTCTTAAACATAACTTAGGAAATGGAACTAGTTACTTACTGAAAAATGTGAATGAATTATAGCATATAAATGCTATATGTGCATATTATTAATTTGATACTAGATGTATATCAACACAAAGAACTGGCCTTTGTCTTGTGGCTTAAGTTTTGGATCACTCCATTTTTTTAAAGCCAATTATTTATAGTTTACTTCTGCAATGCTGCATTTGGGACCATCTGTTGATGTATAGTACCATACTGTACATATCCATCAGATACTGTACTACTGAATTTCTTCCACAATGTTGAATCCCACATATCATTTATTAATTATTACTCCAAGGATTTGATGAAAATAAAATGATCTAGTTTTCGGAATTTGATACAGACCAAGCCAAGATTATATTGGGGATAGCACAAAGAGAATGTTTGAAGCCAGTTTGGTTGCAGGATCTATGATACAATACTGGATGTAACCAAGTGAACTAACACTTCCTCAGGCACTTTACCTTGGAATTTGCCTAGGAGTTAATACTGCATGTGAGTGTCAAAGGTTATGCTCATCATGAAACAAATTGGGAAACTAACTTAAACAACAGATTTTCTCCTGAATTATCCCTCAAAAATAGAGTATTTTAAGACTCTTCAAGGGGTATTTGATTATACACATTGTCCAGAGTTTCTAGACCATAAAATTCTCATGCTAACTCCTTCATAATCTTCCAGTGTCTTTGTGGATTCTGTGACTACTTTTATTGTGTTTTTTATCTCCTTTCTAGAAGACATTTCAAAATCTTTGCATCTTAATTACATTTCTAAAGCAAATACACACACACACACACACACACACACACACACACACAGCTGACAATACAAAAATGCAGATTTCAAAAACTCACACTAAAATGTTTATTAGTGTCTGCCTGGAAACAAAGTTCCATTGGGCTAGCCAGCAGCACTCCAAACTCATGAAACTCATATGCACACATACACATGGCAACCTATCTTGATGGGAAATGGAACTATAAAGAACAGTACAATACACTTCTCTAAATAAATCATATTAAAACCTGAGATATCTCAATTCATACTGTCTGTCTACTCACACATTTTTTCCAAAGTTTTTTTCTCTACTATATTCCTTCTTTTCTGACTACTTTCTGTATTTTTCCTGTGCCAGACATGGCTAGACTTTTCTCCACGTTTTCCATGTTTTCTATACCTCTAAACTCCATCATATTTGACTCACATGAAAAAATAATGGTCTTGTCATGGGAATTAATCAATCTGTCCCCTGAGCTTCAATTTGCCAGAAATTTTATTAAAGCATGTACTTTATACCCAATAGCAGGTCTTCAATTACAGGTGATTGCTCATCAATCTGTCTTCCCTACCAAACTATAGACAACGTGAAGAAAGGGATTCTGTTATTTATTTTTGTATCACATTTTTATATTAGTACAGTGCTTTTTTCAGGGAAAAACAGAACAAACATTCTGGATTAAAAAGTTTGTTCAAAGAGAAGAAATGTTTTACTACTCTCATATCTATGTGAAATAGAGTAGTATGTATATGCCATATGTAAGTAAAAATGTTTAAAATAAACTTGTAATAGTGTGGAATCTTTGTGTGTGTGTGTGTGTGTGTGTGTGTGGTGTTAATGATTTTCATGTGAAATGGCTTCTATTTTAAATCTACTTGTAGGCTTCAATTGATTAAATCTTTGTTGGTCCTAAAGGAATTAAAGATTCCTGAAATTCAGCTGCCTTTAATGACTTTATCAATCAGGAAAGATATTTTTCTTAGAGAATAGGATCACACATACAACAAATTTACTTTAGTGGTTGTTTTTAATGCATAAAATAATTTTAAAAAACTCATTTTCTTAGGAATTTATCAAATCTTCCGTACAAATATCTGCATCACATTAAAAATCAGAGAGAACTCAACAGTGAAGTGAATGCAATGAAGAAAACAGGAAAGTAGCACAGGTGCAATTTGTAGTTACTTTCAAACTTGGTGATTTTCTTAAAATCGGTGCCAAATTTTCTTTTTAATCAAAATATTCTAATATAATTAGAACTTATAATTTTCTTGAGAAGCTAAAAAAGAACAAAAACTGCTTACATGATGAATTCAAATTCCCTAGTTTTATTAGGAAGAATTTTAATTTATTATAGCTTTCATCAAGAAAAAAAAATGATTTGATCAAATGATTGACATCAACATAGTGGGTCCGGATCTAGAAGAAAGATGAACAGTGTTGTTATAGCCAGGCAATAGTGGCTCATATCTGCAATCCTAGATACTCAGGAGACTGAGATCTGAGGATTGCAGTTCAATGCCAGCCTAGACAGGAAAGTCCATGACACTCTGATCTCCAATAAATCACTCAGCAAAAGTGGGACAGTAGTTCTGTGGCTCAAGTGGTAGAGAGCCTAGGCCCTGAGTTTAAGGCCCAGAACCACCACAAAAAACTGGCGTTAGAATTAAAATGTTTTGTGTCATGGCCGTTAAATGGTGTTATACAAAAAGCATACTAAAATATTGCTGATTTTACATGAGTTAGGACAGAATAAATTTGATTCCTTATTAAGGAAGTAGAAACTGCTTTACTTCTTTGGTTTTAAGTTTCTGTGCAATAACAATGTCATGATTGTAGCTGCCCTGTATGATAACTACATAAATCACTAATAGGAAATATGCACCTAGATAACTGGAGTTCTTTGAAGGATTTTTTTTTGTTTTGCTTTGTTTTGTTTTGTTTTGGTTTTGGATATTTTTTTTAGGATTTACTTGGAAGTTAATAGCAAAATCCATGACATGTGTTTACTTAAAATATGAAGAAATTAAGAGTGAAAATGATACAATTAATGAGTAACTGCAAATACAATAAAACCAGAATATTGAATCCATTTTCCAACCATGCTAAATTGTATACAATTCTTAAGACTAATGGATGCAAGACTCAGAAATGAGTCTTAAGGCATATGAGCACAGATATGCCTGGACCAACTGAAAGCAATACAAACTCTTCCTGAAACTGACACAGTAGTAACTTCTCTCTACTTTATCAGACATGGGTACTGAAGTTGATTATTTCCAGGGCAGTTTTGCCCAGTGACCCACTCTTGATTAACTCTTCTCATTCCATCATTTTCATCTCATTCTTTTCTTAAAAAAATTTAGCAAACTACAGAAATAGGCTAATTTTTACAAAGGTAGAGGTCTGACACTGCTTCTCAGAAGGAATTTCTGAGGGAGTGTAAGCATTTGCTGTCCTTTGTGCATTGTGGTTTGAACAGGAATACGAAAAAACTAACTTAAATGTCAAATCTTATGATTTGTGCTTTAATAATTTTACTCTATTTTCCTAAAATCCACACATTATACCAGGATCACTTCCTACTTCCATTTACTATATAATAGTATATATAATAAAAGTGAAAATTATGTGCATGAGATATGTGAGGGAACATGGTAGATGTAGGGGTATCTGCCTCAGTAAAATGGAGGTAAGTTGAAAGCGATTGTAGCAGGAAGACTTAAGATAGCTCCTAATCCTTATTTTATAGCATTTGTACTCTTCTGATATCCTTTTCCCATGAATGTGCTACCCAGTAGTATATGACGCCAATAAGACATATGATTAATCAGCCTAGTCTTGTGGTTTCTATCATGATGATTCTCTCTCTTGACAATCTCATTGAAATTATCTATCAGGTGACAAAGATCTGAGGATAACTTCTAGCCATATGGCAGGGAACTTGGGCCTTCAGTTGTCAAGAACCGAGTCTTGCCAACTGCCATATTGATGAACTTGAAAATGATCTTTCCTGCAGCCCTGATTACTACCTTCATTGCAGAATTGTGAGTGATTGAGTTCTGGCCAGATTCTTTACTCACTGACATTACTCATAAATATCTGTGAATTTAAGTCTAGAAGTTTTTTCATTGTTGTTCTCTATAAGAGCAACAGTATATAACAGTAAATAATGAGCAAATAACACACTTGTTGAAGGAAGACCCCTGTTGTGGGGCCTGAACTCTGGGTCTGGGCGCTGTCCCTTAGCTCTTCAGATCATGGCTAGCGCTCTACCACTTGAGTCACAGCACCACTTCCGGCTTTTTTCTTTTTGCTTATGTGGTGCTGAGGAATTGAACCCAGGGCCTCAGGCATGCAAGGCAAGCGCTCTACCACTGACTTTTTACTTATTTTTGGAAGGATTACTTGATTTCTAATTAGATTACCTAGGTTTTTATCCTAGTCCAATTACAAATTAGTTATGTGCTCTGACAACTGTTACCCTCTCAGTCATTTCCTCTCCCTTTTTCCTCCCCATTCTCCTCCCTACCAAGTTGTAAAGTTCATTTCCAACAGAGTCTAATGAGTATCATTGTTGCATTAGTTCATCCTTTGTCCTGCAAAACAAGCCATTTCCTTCCTCCCAGTTGCCATGATTTCTGTAGTTTCAGCTCAGTATCACTTAACTGAGTTCACTGCTTTGGGTTCACAAGAGTACAATCAAACTGTCAATAGCACTCTGTTTCTTAAGTGGAGTCTAGGGGTTTGAATGTAAAAACCTGTCAGCTGTGCTTACTCAGCATAGAATAAGCTTGATTTTGATGTGGCCCCTTCCAATTCTCAGAGAGTCAGAGAGGGCAAGACCTTGCCCTTCAGATCTCTCCATTCTGCTGAATCTCTTTGCTTTTAAATACTTTGTGATAGTACACTGAGCCCACCTGAGCTCAGCTTTCCTCAGCCAAGAAATTTTCCCTATTGTTAGAATGAACTTGAATACTTCCTCAAAACTTTGGTCATGTAATGCAGCAAAGCAGGGAAACCAACAATCTTCCAATTACGTAGGACGTTAATGATTTTCCTCTTTCAGAACGCCTTACTATTTTCAGTGTTTGGCTTATTATTCTAAGCTATTAAATTTTATTTTTTTCTATAAAAGAAATACTGATATTCAACTATCTGCTCAGCAGAAGATAATCTTTCAACATTAAAATGAATTTAATTCTGGTAATAATAAAGAGAAAGTTTACCTTGTGTTGTCTTCATTTCTGGTTTTTCTTTTTTCTCAATTTTCTCTTTGTGGGTTGCTTAAACAGAAAATTTATATTAGTGGGTACTTTCAAAGGTTGCAAAACCAAGTTTTCATTTTGTTTCAGTTTACAGTCACAAATATCATGGAATATTTAGGAGGTTTTTTTTTTTACCCTGAAAAATTGACTGTGTAAACTTCAATGTAAAGCTTGGCATTGAGATGTAGAAAGCATTTTGAAAAATAAGCTTACCACCTTCTTTTTCTAACTCATTATTCCAAACAACAAAAGTAAATAAAGTAGAAATTTTACAAGAATTAATTGAAAAATATCTTCATATCAGGTATAAAAAATCTGTCTTTAAGATTAATAAAAAGGAATGCAGAAATCAGGAATGAAGGATTGATTAGTATACAAGGGGAACAGGTGAAAAATAGTTGCTTACTCTATGGCACTATCTTCTGCATTGAAAATAGTGTTTAGTTTCTCTCCCATCTCTCCCACAAAGGCTCTATCTTAACATCATTTTGACAATTGAAGTAATGTGTTGCACCCTGTTGCTTATAATCAACACTTTAACTGGAGAATCTACAATAGATATAAAGTAATTCAAACTGGATGAAATTAGAAAAGGAGAAAGAGAACAATGGAAGGGATGACATTGGTCAAGCTACATCATACTGATAATCTGACTTGTTTTGGGTCCAGTCATGGGGCCTGAACTCTGGGCCTGGGCGCTGTCCCTCAGCTCTTCAGCTCAAGGCTAGCGCTCTACCACTTGAGCCACAGCGCCACTTCCAGCTTTTTTTTTCTTTTTTCTTTTGTGGTGCTGAGGAATTGAATCCAGGACTTCAGGCATGCAAGGCAAGTGCTTTACCACTGAGCCACCTTCCCAGCCCCCTGACTTGTTGAGTTGAAACCTTTTTAAACAACTACTTAACATAAAATTTAAAAAGCCATGATTTATCAGTTGAGTAATCTTATTGATTCTCATGTGGAGTAACAATTTTTCATGTGATACCTGAGATGTTATACATTGTCATTATTAGTAAACCAATGACTCAATTTGTAGTGTATTTATACACTCTTGATTTTTTTTTTTGGTCTCTCAGAATTTTAAATAAAGGTGACCTGAGGGTATGATAGCAGGTGCTATTTCAAGCATATTAAATGGTAGCTAGCTAGTTTCCCTAATCACTATATATTTCTAATCACTATATATTTCACATCTCATTTATTGGATAATTACAATGGAAATTAAATAATTTATGGGCAATTAGGTGATAAAAAGATACAATTTTGTTAACTAATTTGTTTAAGGAAGGAGTAAATTAGTGCCCTCAAACAATTGGATTTATTCACCTATCTAAGAATAGGGATGTACATCAGTTTTACTCATTAAAGGATGAAATATTAAGGAGTGGGCTTGATAGGGGGTCTGAGGTTGGTCAGTGATGCTCCACACTTGTGAATAGATGAACATGATTCATACAGGAGTGAGTTTGCTCTGGCAGAGTGGGTTCACACTCCTGAAAGTGGGACTGTAATAAAGGCAAGCTTGCCTCCTTTGACCCTCTTTGCCACCTCCCATGTTACAAAGAAGTAGAAAGTATCTCAACAGAAGCCAAACAGATGCAATCCGGGTGCTCAGACTCCCTAGAATGTACAAACTACCCAGTCTGTAGCATTTTATTATAGCTTTTGCAAATGGACACAGATGATATCTATGAATAATTTGCCCGGAATCTTGAAGAGACAATTTTAACCTCACAGAAAGCTTAAAGCTTCCTGTCCAGATAAAGGCCAAGTGGCCAGCAGAGAGGCAGAACTGCGGACAGCAGCTTCCTCCTCCAAAGAGCAGCCTCCCCCACGCCTACCTCCGCTACCGTTTGCCGCTGAGAGCAGCCATTTGTACATTTCTCCCAGAAGGGAAACTATGCTAGGATAGGCAGGAGACAACTCACACAGTCATGGGGCTACCTACGTTCCAAAATATGAGTTAATGTTTTATTTTTTCTGTCGTGGGGCTTGAACTCTGAGTCTGGGCTCTACCCCTGGGCTCTTCAACTCAAGGCCAGCATTCAACCCCTGGAGCCACAGCGCCACCCTCGATTTTCTGGTGGCTAATTGGAAGTAAGAGTTTCACAGATTTTCCATCCTGGGCTGGGTTTGAACCGCGATCCTCAGATCTCAGCCTCCTGAGTAGCTAGGATTACAGGCATGAGCCACCATCCCCAGACAGTGAATCATTTTTTTAAAACAATACATTGTATAGCTTCAGTGAAAGTTTCGAACTTCATATGAGAATTGCAAATTATTTCGTTGTGTCAGAACCCAGAGGATCTGATGCTGCTCATTCTGCATAAACCATTAGCAAAAGTGGACACCTGAAATAGCGAGTTAAAATTCATGAAAATGGCCACTAGTTAGCAATAATAAAGGAGCAACTATTTAATTCAAATGCTCCTTGGTGAATAATCAATATTGGAGCATGGTTCAGCAGTACAATTGGTAATATTTTCATCATTGCAAGTGGAATGTTGCATAAAACAAGAAATCTCAGCAGGTCATTCATACTGTGGTTGCAGAAGTCAGGTAAATATCTTAGAGATGATCCATTCTAAAACAATACCAAACAACGAAATTAACTCTTACTTCACATTATACATTAAATAAAATTTTGTTTGGATTTAAGTAATTAAAATGCACACTACCTATAAAATGTGTTGCAATGGTTTTAGCTTGAAGAAAATGTTAGCATCTATTGAAATAATCTTTGATAAAGATTCAAAAACATAAAATTCTACAAAAATACAAATATACATAGGCAGATTGGGAGTGGTGTCTTATACCTACAATCTCAACTACTACATTCTGGTGGAGACCAGAATGATCACAATTTGAGACTAGAACAGACAAAAGTGATAATCCAGCTTAATCAATATGCTGCAGGTGAAGATGTGCATCTGTAATGCCAGTTACAGAGGAGCATCAGATAGGAGAACAAGTTCTGAGGCTAGCCCAGGCAAAAACATCAGCTCTTATTTGAAAGATAACTAAAGAGGGAAAAAAAGACTGTTTCCACAACTTGGCTATTGTGGATAGTGCAGCAGTGGACAAGGATGTGCAAGTGTTTTATACCTATTCATAATAGCCAAGTTGTGGAAACAACCTAGATGTCTTACAATAGATGGGTGGTTCCAAAATTGTGGTACCGATTCCCAATGGTATTTTACCTGGTCATTAGAAAGAATTATGTCATTTGCAAGGAAACGGATAGACCTAGAAGTGGGGTAAGGCAAGCTCAGAGAGAGGAATGATGTATGGGTTTTTTTCCCCTCATAAGTGATCTAAAATACACAGGGGCATGATAAATTATATGTGCCTATGTGTATCAAGTTATACAAAATAGTATTTATCAAAATGAACTCTAGGAAATAGAAACAAGGGTTTTTTCTCTTTTTGCTGTTTTTGTTTTCATTTCTTTTTGCTCTTTTGGTTTATTGTATGTCTCTGAGCATGCTTCATTGGAGGCAGAGAAATGGCGACACAAAGGGTGAATAAATGCAGCAATGGTAGTCACTGAACATTATGTTGAAAATGAGCTATTTCACTTGTGGGTGGGCATGGGAAGGGAAAACTAGGAGAGAACAAGGGAAAGGGTAACATTGTCCAAAATAAAATATACTCTTTACCTGACTTATGCAACTGTAACACCTGTGTACATTGCCTTTATAATAAAACTAAAAACATTTTTTAAAAAAGGGCTGGTAGTATGGCTCAAATGGTAGAACGTCTGTCTAGCAAATGGAAGGCCTTGAGTCTAAACCCCAGTAACCTCACATTTACACACACAAAAACAAAGAGTTGAAACTTATATATGCATGTACACATATATGTACTCACATTTGTCCAACCACATAGATTTTATGTGAAAACAGAAAAAAATAATTAGGAATGGTGATTGACTAAGAAATTTGTATCTCTAAATGACATCATTAAAATAAATGAGTATCAAATGTGAGCAGCTACATAAGAAGAACAAAGCATACTAAAAGTCATATCTACATTTTTCTATCTACATATAACAAGCATATTGAAGATTTGATGGGAGGAAATACTCTGATACAAGCACTATGCAAATGATCATAGTGAAGAAAATATCCATAGTATATCTTTTTAATTTATAAAAGCCAGAATGTAGGAAATGCTAGATTTTTGTATGCATATGCACACAAAGAGGCAATACACTTACTATAATAACATATTAGTAAAATACTGTATCTATTCTAAGTTGTACTAATATTAGTCACATATTACAAATGAAGGTCATGGAAGGACATGTATGAAATTCTAAGTTGTACTAATATTAGTCACATATTACAAATGAAGGTCATGGAAGGACATGTATGAAATTCACACAGCAGTTTATTGTAAACCTGTTGTTTGGCCAGACTAGAAAGTAGGAAGGGACAGATGTGGGCCTGGGAAAGAGTGAAGAGGAGGGTTTTCACAAGGCATCTTCACTGATTGGATAATATGGTTCTATGACCATTCTATTATAAAGCAAAAGCTAAGAGAAATAAAGTCTAATAAGCAAACCATATATAAATTAAAATAATGGTGAGTGATTTTGTACTTATGAAATGCCAAGTAGTTTTTAATAAAATTCTTATTATGAGATGACAGTCTCAGAACTTGGGGTGGCGGTAGGGTAACTAACACATTTCTGTTCAGCAGAGTGCAAACAACTCAAGAGCCTTAACATTTTTCATTCAATCAAAGTTCCTCCTTTCAGATTCTATTGCAAGTATTTCTGATATAGTTTTGAAAGAAATGATATGAAATTTTGAATAAATCTGAATATAAGGAAGGGAAAGTCAAAAGGAAAAATGATATAATAGTAAAAACTGCACAAAGAATAACAGCATACCTTTCTTCATAGGTTTTTCTTTTGTCTTTTCTTTTTCTTTTTCTTTGTGTGCAACTGGAAAGAAACAGATCATACATTTCATTTTAATAAATGACAAGATAATCACATAGTGGTTTTGATGTTAAAAAAAAAAACACCTATCCTCTACTTTCAGAAATCTCCCTTTAACTGGCATAGGGTTTACCTATGTAGAAGTTTAAGCTTCAGTATAATTACAGATTTCATTTTTTAATCTATTTTTGCTTCACATTCAAGCATGAGCAAATATCAAAATTAGGTCTGACTGCAAAGATAAGAATATTCCTCAGTCTTTTGAAATCTATAATTTAATGAATTAGAAGACTTCTTAAAAATATTATGCCATGTGCCAAGGAGCCCAGCTTTAATATTGGAAAAGTGCCAGAGGTCTGAATTGAAAAACACAGAAATATAATCAACTGAACCTTAAGCAAAGAAACATCAATCTAAATTGTACATATTGCTTTTCTAGAGCAATATTCCACAATTATTTTTAAATGCTAGAATGGGATTAAAATGCTGTTACATCTTGTTTTAAAAAAATAAAATTGAACTGAATGGGCTATAACTCAATTAATTATTGCAACAGGATCAACGTTTATGTCATAAGCTTAACACATACTTAAATCATAATTTTTATTAATTTTTCAAACTATAAATATGTGGCTCATTCCAGACTAGCGTCTCTCTTCTACTTCCTACGTCAGTTCATTATCCAAGCTCTGCCCGTCTTACTTTTTATAGTATTCCTCTTATACCACTTATTTTCCCAAAAATATAGAAAGAGCCCCAGAAACATGCTAGTGACTCAGCTAGGCAAGACAAATACCACTTTTGTCATGGAATGCCACCACGTTAAAGGATGATGGATGCCAAACAAGTAATTACAAAGGTAGCTAATTGCTGTTAGTATAATCACTATAGGCATGATGGCAGGTCAGTGTGTAAAACTGAGACCTAATCTCACACATGTTTGGAAAAGCAATGAAGGATGTAAGAAGTGGAAGGAAATTAACCTACATGGACAATGCAAAGGACAAAGTGGAAAGAGACAATTTCAGAACAATGGGCAAGAAAACCATCTTGGGCATGCTATTATTTCCCCTTTAATGGAAACAGATTTCTATTTTTCCATCTCATAATAACCTTTCTAACACAAGTCTGATTATATCGTTCATCTTTTTCAAATATTAGTATCTCACATATTGCTCGGCTTGGTATCTGCCACAGAACATGTGCTATATCAAACACACAAATATTTTATTGGCCCAATGATCCAATATTTGCTTACAATCCATTGTCATCAACCAGGAATTTCTCCTTGAATTTCACATTTCAGTTTTGACACAATGTCATATGACACAGGATATCAATGACATCTTGTGCCCTTGTGAGAACTATCTATCCCTGTTTGTTTGTGTCTTCAACCTTAAACTCCCAGTCCATGTTTTAACAAGTTCACTCTCCTGTTCCATGTTCCCTTTCTGTTGGGATCAAATAACCCCTCAATACTTTCTATATTTGTCTCATACTCTAATTGTATCATTTTCTTAAGTCCATTTAGCAATTATGAAATAATATCCCAATTGCTCATATATACAACCACCCAGTGAAATCTTTAGAGACAATGCCCCATTATTTTTCTTGCATTTCTGTGTTTTTCTTTTTTGGTACTGGCTATTGAACCCAGGAGGTTGCATTTGCTAGGCAAGTGCTTTCCCACTGAGCTACAACCCAGTCAGCATCCCTGGCTTTTGAATATGCAAAATTCTAAAATCCCTAGTAAAATCTGTATTAAGAACCATGCTGTGATATAGACATACATCACATAGTACACTTTTTGCTTCTGATCATTTGAAATATTAAGATTTCTTGAATAAGTCCTAAAGAAAAGCAGGCTAAAGGGAAAAAAATTCACCTTCAAATATCTAGATATTAGGGTTTTTTAATTTTTTTACCATTTGAAATGGCACGTTTCATTTTAGGTATTTCTGAGCTACTAAGTTCAATAAAAATATCTCACAAAAAGAAATCAGCATTCATGCAGATCTCAAATAGCTTATTTGGGCTTCTTTAAATCACTATTAATGAAACTAAAAGAAATTCTTGGCATAAATAAAGCCTCCTTTAAAGTTTCCCTAGGGGGGACCTAGGTTGTGTGAGATAAGCTGTGCTTTCAGAACTCTGATTGGAAAAAGCCCCAAGGGATCACCTAATCTGTGGCTCTGCTCTGGAAGGGCTGGGCTCACGCACCTCAGACAGCTGGTTGTCCATTCCACGGAAGGATTTTTAAGATTGACATGTGCACATGCATAAGTGGGAGAATTAATACCAAATCAAAAGAGCAAGGGGAGTGAATCCAGCCTTAAATTAGCATATTAACTCCTCATTCCTGTGACCGAGGGTGGGGGGAACCCTTATTCCTCTAGTCAAAATTTTTGATTTATAGACGCAGAAGTGTACGCTGGAATTTCGTTTTCACCCTTCAGAACAACACCATTCTGCAGCTTAGTGAAGCAGCTGGAGCCATGGCTCTAGGGAACTGTTCAAAATGGCAGACGGCCACTAAATCTGCTTGGACAGAAACTTCAAACTTTGGCAAGACTCTGCTCAAATACCAAGTTCCTAAAATGACTCTTTTTTTAACCACAACACTACAGCAGTCAGTACTGCTTTAACAATCACTCTAAAGCTTATAAAAAATTATTTGAAACAGGAGCTGGGGTTGCTGATGCCTTTCTTCCCTTAAAACCAATAATAAGAATTTCCACAAGGAAGAGGAAAAGAATTCCAAAATGCCACCAGCCTTGGCTGATAAGTGAAGTCTTAGACAAGATTGTTTTACCTCAGAGAAAAATAAATGTTTTGCACCTGCCACAGATTAAGTTTGTCATCCTAGGTACAAAAAAAAACAAAAACAAAAACAAAAAGCAAGCAAACAAAAAAAAGCCAACTGAAGTCCTTTGGTATGCTTGTAATTAAAAACAAGCAAAATCCACCAGTTGGAATGGCCTGATGTCCAGCATCTGAGTTGGCATGGCCCTGCTGTTCCTGCACTTGTCCAGACTCTGACCTTTCCCTGACCAGAACATTCAGCCCAACTCAACTGTGAAGTAGATTTCTTACTCTCTCCACATGGCTCTGCTCCAGCCTTCCCCAGGCTTCTGATTTTGATCCCTGTAGGGCAAGATAGACTTGTATGTTTTCTGATGTGTGTCAGAGCTCACAATACCTCTGACTCTGCAGTTGTACCAGGTCAATATACTCCCTGAGAGTCAAAAGGCTCTAAGTTATCAGACTCCTGCTCTTTGTATCTGCTCTTAGCTTAAAAACAATATGAAAAGTTTTATGGTCAAAACTATTCAAAGTACTGATTGGTATCCTCTACTGTGCATTCTCTGGTTCATGGGTAACTAATAAATTTAATCAAAGTTTTGAAACTCATGGTTAATTCAGAGCTATTGAATGAGACTAATTTGAATATCCAAGCAAAAATAGATCGGGTGTCATAACTTTTATTATTAAAATTTGGTGGGGCATGATTAGCCATAGAATTTTCAGATTTTGGTTTTAATTAATGTACCTATTTTTAAGATTTTTCTGGTGCATTTGTTTGTAGGAGATATTAATAGTGAATCAGTTTTTAAATAAGTGAACATTTCAGTTTCATAGATTCATACACATTCATGATTAAATTCATTATTTTTATGACAAAAATTAGACACATTCATTTTAAACCATTTAAAAGGAAAGTTCTCTTTTAGCCATCACTAGAAAAAAAATAGCCAGACATATTATAGTTTATTGAGAGTGTGCCTGTATGTTTTTTTAAAACAAAAAAAGGACTAATTTGGAGAATTTTAATTCTGTGCCAAATGCAAAAAAAACTTAAAAAAGAGATATAAGAAACATCATAGTAAAATAATTTTTAAAATATGTTTTTATTGTAAAAATGCTGTACAGAGGGGTTACAGTTAACATGAGCAAGGTAACTAGTACATTTCCTATCAAGCATTGTTATCTCCTCCTTTGTTTTTCCCCTGACATCCCTTCCCGCCCACCTCCACAACTACATTCCCCTCCCCTGCCTAAATTGTAAAGTTTGTTTTTCCACATAGTGTCATGTACATCTTCATTGTTACAATGGATCAACCTGTATCCCTGTTTAAGCATTTTGTTTTTTCCCTTCCCCTCCCCAAGTTAGAGAAGTGTACATACAAGATGCAGGGCACCGACATCAAATACAGTGATTCTTAAATAGAGAAATTTCAGAAAGACTGTTATCTAGTATTTCTTAAGAAAGTATTTATCACATTAAGGTTAACAAATGAACACAGATTTAGCAGGTCAACTAGTCTGGATTTCTTTGACAGAAATAAGAAAACAAGAAAAATATAGAGCAAGCCAGGAAAAGAATATAATTATCAGATTGTTTCTGCCTAAACCGTGCTGCTTTGTTCCTTTAGGTCCTGGGCAGACTGAAAATTTGTTCCCATGAGTGTAAGCTAATTATTTCTATATTATCTACTTTTTAATAGCATACATACTTCACATAATCTGCTTTTTTTCTTTTGGTGGCAATAGGGTTTGAAGTCATGTCCTATGGTTGTTTGCTGGTGGGTTACCACCAAGCCACACCCCAACCTTGCCATTTGCTAGTTTGGAGTTGGAGTCTGCCCCGTGTAGCTTTCAATCACAACCTTCTAGATCTCAACTTTCTGAGTACCTAGGATTACACGTGTGAGCCACTGACATTCTGTAAAATCACTTTTCTTTTTATATAAAAGTAAAGGTTGGCTTTACTCTTATAATTGTAGCTTACCCTGTAACCCTGGCTTACCCCTTATAATTCTAGCTACGCAAGAGGCTGAGGTATGAGTACTAAGGGCCAAATTTAGCTTAGCAGAGAACCCCATGATATTCTTATCTCTAATTAACAAGAAAAATTAAGCCATGCTTCTTATGAAAGAGAAAGTGTGACTCAACAAGTAGAATTCAGCCTTGAGCAAAAAAGCCAAGCATGAACACAAGATCGT